ACATGGAAATTGAACAGCACACTCCTTAACAAGGCCTGGGTAACAGAAGAGATCAGAGAAGAAATAAAGCATTTCCTAGAACTCAATGAAAATGAAAACACCTCACAAAGAAACTTGTGGGACACAGCAAAAGCAGTCCTGAGGGGCAAATTTATTGCCCTCAGTGCCCACATCAAGAGAATGGAGACAGACCAAGTAAATAATCTCATGTTGCAACTAAAACAGCTAGAAAAACAAGAAAAAATGGGACCTAAAGCTACTAGACGAAGCCAGATAACCAAATTGAGAGCAGAGATTAACCAATTAGAAAATCAGAAAACCATAACCAAAATAAACCAAACAAAAAGCTGGTTCTTTGAAAAAATAAACAAAATTGATGGCCCGTTGGCAAGATTAATTAAAAAAAGAAGAGAGGAAACCCATATTAATAGGATTAGGGATGCCACGGGAAACATCACAACACGTACCCAAGATATCCAAACAATTCTAACAGACTACTTTCAAAAGCTATACTCTCTAAAGGAAGAAAATCTGGCGGAAATGGATGCATTTTTAGAGAAATACAAGTTACCCAAACTGAGCAAAGAAGAAGTTAACCAATTAAATAAGCCAATATCCTATAATGAGATACAGGAAGCTATCAAAAGTCTTCCAACAAAAAAAAGCCCAGGACCAGATGGATTCACAGCAGAATTCTATAAGACCTTTAAAGAAGAACTAATACCCATACTCCTCAAGCTCTTCAGAGAAACAGAGAAGGAGGGAGCTATCCCAAACTCATTCTACGAAGCCAATATCACACTCATCCCCAAACCAGGCAAAGACCCAACCAAAAAGGAGAATTACAGGCCAATCTCCTTGATGAACACAGATGCAAAGATCCTTAACAAGATTCTAGCTAACAGAATCCAGAAACACATAAAAAAAATAATACACTATGATCAGGTAGGCTTCATCCCAGAGACACAGGGATGGTTTAACATACGTAAGTCAATAAATGTAATCCAGCATATCAACAGAGCCAAGGTCAAGAATCACATGATTATCGCCACAGATGCAGAAAAGGCCTTTGATAAAATTCAACATTCATTCATGCTAAAAGCTCTGGAGAAAATAGGAATAGAAGGAACATTTCTAAAAACAATAAAAGCCATTTATGACAGACCAATAGCCAATATTATACTTAATGGGGAAAAGCTACAACCAATCCTCCTAAAAACAGGAACAAGGCAAGGATGTCCACTGTCTCCACTCCTCTTCAACATAGTCCTAGAACCCTTAGCCAGGGCAATAAGGCAAGAAAAAGACATTAAAGGGATCCGCATAGGGAAAGAAGAAGTGAAACTATCCCTTTTTGCAGACGACATGATACTATACCTCCACGATCCCAAAAACTCCATCCCCAAACTTTTAGAAATCATAAGTCACTTCGGCAAAATAGCAGGATACAAAATAAACCCACAAAAATCAGTTGCCTTCCTATACACTGATAACGCACAGGAAGAGAGGGAAATAAAGGGAGCAACCCCATTCACAATAACCTCCCAAAAAATAAAATATTTAGGAATTAACCTAACCAAAGATGTAAAAGAACTATTTAATGAGAACTATAAAAAGTTAAAGAAAGAAATTGCAGAAGACACTAGGAAATGGAAAGACCTCCCATGCTCCTGGATAGGCCGACTTAATATAGTAAAGATGGTGATACTTCCAAAATTAATATACAAATTCAATGCAATTCCTATTAAAATCCCAATGACGTACATCACTGAAATACAGAAAACAGTCCAAAAATTTATATGGAACAACAAAAGACCTAGAATAGCCAAAACAATTCTAGGGGATAAAGACAATATGGGAGGGCTATCCATGCCGAACTTCAAACTCTACTACAGAGCTATAATCACAAAGACAGCATGGTACTGGCACAAAAACAGACCCGAAGACCAATGGAACAGAATAGAAGATCCAGATATAAATCCACAGGCCTACAGCCAGCTGATATTCGACAAAGGAGCCAAAGACATACAATGGAAGAAACACAGCCTCTTCAACCGCTGGTGCTGGGAAAACTGGGCAGCCACATGCAGAAAACTAAAAGTGGACCCCAGCCTATCACCATGCACCAACATCAACTCAAAATGGATTAAAGACCTTAACATTAAACCTGAATCTCTGAAACTACTGCAGGACAGAGTAGGAGAGACACTTGAACTAATAGGCACAGGAAGGAACTTCCTGAACAGAGTCCCAGGGTCACAACAAGTTGGAGAGAGACTCGACAAATGGGACTACCTTAAAATAAAAAGCTTCTGCACAGCTAAATCTATCGCAACTAAGCTAGAAAGACAACCAACTAATTGGGAAAAAATATTTACCAGCAATATATCAGACAAGGGGTTAACATCCTGTATATACAGGGAACTCAAGAAACTAATCCCTCCCAAACCTAACAAACCAATTACTAAATGGGCAAGGGAACTAAAGAGGGACTTCTCAAATGAAGAAATAAAAATGGCAAAGAAACACATGAGGAAATGTTCATCATCCCTGGTGGTGAAGGAAATGCAAATAAAGACAACCCTGAGATACCACCTTACCCCAGACAGAATGTCCCACATCCACAAATCAGCCAACGACAAATGCTGGAGGGGATGTGGAGAAAGAGGAACCCTATTACACTGCTGGTGGGAATGTACACTTATACAACCACTTTGGAAAGCAGTCTGGAGGGTCCTTAGAAAGCTAAAGATTGACCTCCCTTACGACCCAGTCATACCACTTCTAGGCATCTACCCTGAACAACAGGAACCAATATACAAGGACACGTGCACCTCCATGTTTATTGCAGCACTGTTCACAATAGCTAGGATATGGAAACAACCTAGGTGCCCCACCACAGATGAATGGATCCAAAAATTGTGGTATCTATACACAATGGAATATTATGCAGCCATTAGAAATGACAAAATAATGGCATTTGCAGGGAAATGGATGGAGCTAGAAGGAATCATGTTGAGCGAGGTAAGCCAAGAACGAAGAGACAAACGGTACATGGTCTCCCTCATAAGTGGATGCTAAATCCAAAAGGTTAGTGATACGACAAAACTAACAGGACTTAAGAAACAAAGAACTCCCGCTCATCTGGTTGAACCACTACTAAATAACCTCATGCTGCTGATCACAAATATGGTATATAACATGTGAACACTGTTATATATTACAGACTGTGGTAGACAATTTGCTCCAGGGAAGTTAGAATGAACTTGTGACTTTGAAATTATGTAATCATTTAATCACAATCAAAAAAAAAAAAAAAAAAAAAGAACCTCGGGGAAGGGAGGGAGGGAGGGGATGGTAGGGGGAAAACAAGAAAAAAAAAAAAAAAGAAAAAAAAAAATAAAATTACAATAAAATCCTGCTATACAATCACTATACATTAATCTAAAAAAACTTTATTTAAAACCAGCAACTTAGAAACTGATCATTTCCTGGTTAAGCTATCAAGCAAGCCCTAGTATATGTGTTGCTTTCTGGTTGTAGCATGTCTACCAGCACCTCACATTTGTACCCTTTCCTACAGGGCTTAAAGAAATGCCAGCCATGTGTTTATTTGTTTAGGGGGTTGTTTTTGACAGAGCCTAGCTAGCTATATATCCCAGACTGGACTTAAACTCAAGATCCTCCTGTCTCCATTTTTCAAGTGCTAGGATTATAAAGAGAGTATCACCATAACCACTACAGCGATTCTTATTAAATAAAATCATTCCATCCCAAAGGCCAATTCCTACGAATAATTCTAGAATAAGCCACACTAAGTCTCTGAAGAACATCATCTGTGTTATAAAGATTCTACAGATGTACCAAAACATCAGGAGTTTCGGAAGATAGAGAACCAAAATTATCTTGGGCTATCTTGGAGCTCTTAGTATAAATATTTACCTTCTCTTTTGTATTTGACCTCCTAACATTCTCATAACTAACTTCTCAGTGCATCACTACTAATCTCAGTAGACCTAGCCTCTACCAGCCCTAAAGCTGTAATTGCTGTAACATCTAAACCATATGGAACCTTTCCCACATTGCTGTAACCTGGCTGGCCTCCCTGATCCTCCCACCAATGCAACCAGATTGATTTATGACCTTTGTTCTATGGCTCCTAAAAGTTAATATTCCACAGTAGACCTTGTCATTCACAGCAACCTGGATCCATGCCCCGTATCCATCATCACTCATATTTGGCTCAGAATCAACGATTTTCTTATGTCCTTTAAAAACAGTCATGATTTTAATTTTACATCAATGCCACCCACCCAAGACACGCTTTGATTTGTTATGTGGCAAACACACTTCACAAGTTCAGGTCTTCTGATCTTATCCAAAGATCAGAAACTATGAGGAGAGTCCTAATCAGTTCCCACTGAAAAAGGGAAGAAAGCTCTACTTGCCCCAAAATATGACTAACATCCAACACAACTGAGTGACCCAGCCTGTGAGCTAAGATGTAACTCAGGAATAAAGTGCATGTCTCATGACGCAGGAAGAGACGCAACTTATTATAAACTTGCATTTGTCTTCATCTTGGATGCAGCTGTGGAATCTGTACATGTTATTCTTTTTTCTATTTGTTTGTTTGTTTGTTGCTATACCTGTTCTGAAGCTTCAGGGCCTGGGTGCTGTCCCTGAGTTTTTCTGCTCAAGGCTCTAGCTCTACAACTTGAGCCACAGCTCCTCTTTCTGGCTTTTTAATGGTTAACTGGAGGTAAGCGTCTCATAGATTTTCCTGCCCAGGCTGCTTTTGAACCACAATTTTCAGCTCTCAGCCTCCTGAGTGGCTAGGATTGCAGGCTTCAGTCACTGCTGCCAGCTCTGCACACTTTTTACACATGGTGAAATCTGTATGCTGTGGTGTGGGCCACTCCCCACCCCAATCCCATAGCACCCTCCTCCCTCCCCCCCCCCCCTTTCTCACCCCCTTCTTCCCCCAAACACACACATACCTCTTTGGAGCACCAGGCACATTTTGGATGGATTAGCAGACATTCTTCGCAAGAGGTGGCACTTCCGCTGGTACATATGTTGAGTCCTTAAAAGCAAGATAAAGATACAGGGATTAGTTAGGTTACTACTTCTTGTCTATCAACGCTGTTGCCCAGGCCTTTGAATGGGGGGAGGAGGGGCAATCAGGGTATTACTGTTTCAGTACAGCACCCCAGCGCTGACTGCCGGTTACAGCTCATTTGTGGAGGCCAAACACTGAGTTTCCACCAACCTCACACACTTATGTTAAAGCCACGCCCATTTCTTCTGCTGGGCCCATTTGGTCCCATCTCTTTCCCCATAATTCAGCAAATTCTCCCCACTGCAGGAAAAGAGGGCTTGTGTATCTTTAGTCTATCCAAAAGTGGCAAAAAAAATAAATTAAAAAAATATATATATATGAATGATACAAACAGCCAGGTTTGGTGGCTCACATCTATAACCCTAGCTGCAAAACCATACCAGGCAACAAAATCTGTGAGACTTTTATCTCTAATTCACCAGGAAAAAGAACAAAAGCCAGAAGTAGAGGCAGGTTTAAGTGGTAGAACACCAGCCTTGTGTGATAAAGCTAAGGGACCAAGTCCAGGCTCCAAGTTCAAGCCCTAGTAGTGGTACCAAAAAAGTAAAAACAAAAATGAAAGAGAAAAGGACAGCCTAACAAAATAAAAATCTAATTCACCATACTCCAGATACTCTGATTAAACCACAAACATTCTTATCAAATCTACACAGCACTGAAGAAGAAATACAATGCTGGGATAAAATAAATCTACAAACATAAAATAGGAAAAATCCTATCATTGCCTGAAAGGTAATACGAAGGTTAGGCTTGATAGCTCATACCAGTAATCCCAGGAGGATGGCTAGCCTGGAATACATAGCTCCAGGCTAGCTCAAAAAAAAGTAAATACATCCAAAAAGAACATTCCCAATGGCTTAAAAAAAAAAATCAGAAACTGAGATTAAAAGGAAACTGCCTTTTCATTGGAAAGATTACTGATCTAAAACCCAGGCCAGCCTTCTTCCTTCTGCCCTGGGATGGTGGGTGAGGGGTGGCTGTTAGCTGTGGGGGAGGGGATTACACCCATTGCTAGCTCTCTCTCCTCCGCCTTCTCCTTCCCACTTGCCCTCCCACCACAGCACAGGGGTCCTCAGTGAAACTCCAAATCCCTTTTCCTTCCTCTCTGTAATATTCAGGGCAAGAGCAGAGCTTGCTGGCCAGGCATTTCTCAGAGTAACTCTATTTGACTCCCAGTACTAAAAGCCCACTCTAAAGAAGAGAAGAGGGAAGGCACATTAGGTTGATGGAAAAAAGAGAAACCTAAAGCCAGCAGCCCTGGGGGAGGATTCAGATCTTGTTCTTTTCTCCTTTTATAATTTTTGTTGTTGGTGATGGAGATCATGGGGCTTGAACTCAAAGGCTGGGCCCTGAGCTTTTTTTTTTTTTTCCAGTCCTGGGGCTTGAACTCAGGCCTGGGCTCTGTCTCTGAGCCTCTCTGTGCTCAAGGCTAGCACTCTACCACTTGAGTCACAGTACCACTTTGGGCTTTTACTGTTTATGTGGTACTGAGGAATCAAACCCAGGAAGCATTCTACCACTGAGCCACATTCCCAGCCCCATGTCCCTGAGCTCTTTTGCTTAAGCCTAGTGCTAGTGCTCTACCACATAGCTCCAGTTCCACTTCTGGTTTTTGAGTGGTTAACTGGAGATGAGTACTACAGACTTTCCAGTCAGGCTATCTTTGAACCTCAATCCTCAGACCTGTTTCCTGAGTAGCTAGGATTACTGGCACGAGCCATCAGAGCCTACCTCCTTTTATAATTTTTGGTAAAGAAACTGAGTAAGACCCAAATGGAAAGATAACTTGTACTTATGATTTGGAAGAATTCATACTGTTTAAATGTCTACTTTTCCCAAAGCAGTGTACAAACTCAAAGTAATCCCTATTGAAATTCCAATGCTAGTTTTCACCAGAAAAAAAAGTGAAAAAAAAATTCATATAGAACTCCAGAAGACCTCAAACAGGCAAAAGTAGCCTTGAACAACAAGTTAAAGATACTGAACTATCTGGTATCAAAAACACTTCAAAGCTATAGGAATCAAAACATCATGGTACTCAGAAAAAGAAAAAAGACCAATAGAACAAAACAGAAAGCTTAGAAATAAATCCACACACTTATAGTCAACTGATCAACAGTGCCAAGGACACATAACAGGAAAAGGCTAGACTCTCCAATACATGGTGTTGGGACAGGGGGGCACCCGCACACAGCCAATTAAAAGCAGTCCCTAATCTCACCCCACAGGCAAACATCAACTCAAAATGGATAAAAGATTTGAACATAAAAACTGAAACTGTGCAACTACCAGAAACAAAAAAAAAAAAAAAAAAACCAGGAAAAAAATTCTTGTTGTTGGTCTACCCAATAATTTTCTTTAGATATTCCCCAAACACAAAAACAACAACAATAACAGATAAATGAGACTGCTCCAAATTAAAACAATTCTGCACAAACTAGGTGCTGGTGGCTCACACCTGTAATCCTAACTATTCAGGAGGCTGAGATCTGAGGGTTGTGGTTTGAAGCCAGCATGGGCAGGAAAGTCCATGAGACTCTTTTTCTCCAATAAATCACAGAAAAAGCTGTAAATGACACAGTGGCTCAAGTGGTAGAGCACTAGCTTTGAGCAAATGGAGCTCAGGGGGAGCATCCAGGCCTAGAGTTCAAGCCCCAGAACTGGAACCAAAAAAAAGCTTCTGCACAGAGAAGGAAATCGTGAAGACTGAAGAGAAAACCAATAGACTGGGAGAGAATATTTGAAGACATACATCTGATAAGGAGCTGATATCCAAAATACATAGGGAATTCAACACATTAGTAAGAAAACCATCCAATTTAAAAGAGACCTCAACATCAGAGCTGAAACCTTAAAAAAGTACTACAAGAAGGAGAAAAAACACTAGAACTTATCAGCATAGGCAGGAACTTTCTAAGTCCAGTTTCAGAGGCTCAGCAAGTTGGCAAAAACTGACAAATGGGATTATACCAAACTAAATGGTTTTTGCACAATTAGGACATAGTTACTAAAGTAAAAAGGCAGCCTATAGAATGGGAGATCTTTACCAGCTATATATACAACAAAGGCCAATACCTAAAATATACAGGGAGCTCAAAAACACTAATAAAATAACTCAACTAATAAATAAGCAAAGGAACTTAACAGAGACTTCTCAGAAGAATGGCAAATAAACACATGATGAAATGCTCAACAAAAGGAAATGCAAATTAAAACAACACTGAGGGGCTGGGAAGGTGGCTCAGTGGTAGAGCGCATGCCTTGCATGCCAGAGGCCCTGGGTTCGATTCCTCAGCACCACATAAGCAAAAAGAAAAAAGCCGGAAGTGGCGCTGTGGCTCAAGTGGTAGAGCGCTAGCCTTGAGCTGAAGAGCTGAGGGACAGCGCCCAGGCCCAGAGTTCAGGCCCCGTGACCGGACCCAAAAAAAAAAAAAAAAACACTGAGATTCCATCTCACTCCAGTAAAATTGGCCCCCATGAGAAATTCAAGCAACAACAAATGCTGGTGGGGATGTGGGGAAAGAGGAACGCTGTTGTACTGCTGAGGGGAATGTAAACTAGTACAATCACTCTGGATAGGGTTGCAAGATTCCTCCAAAAACTAAGCCCAGAACATAGATCCAATCATACCACTCTTATGCATCTACTGAGATCATTACAAGTCAGGACATAGTATAGACACTTGCATATCCACGTTCACTGCTGCACTATTCGAAATAGTCAAGTGATAGAAACAGCCCAGATGCCCTACAGTGGATGAGTGGATCAAAACAATGTGGTACTTATACATGGAATTGTACTCATCCATCAAAAAGAATGATTATGTCATTTGCAGGGAAATGGATAGACCCAGGGGAAAAATTATGTTAAATGAAGTAAGATAGGCTCACAGAGACAAATGGTACGTGTTTTCTCTCATATATGGAAGCTAGATCTAAAATACAAACATACATGATAAAGCTTACAGATTTAATGCATAGACACATGCACAAACTAATGAACGGTATACTTAGGGGAGGAGTTCAATGATGTGACTCCTCTGGACAACTAATAAACAGTTTAACAAAATGAATACCAGCAAGTTGAAACATGCTCTGTGGGGAGGAGGGAGATCAGTGAGAAGGGGGCATAGGAATGGAAGGACAAAAGATGAGCAAATACAGTCCTAATATTCAATGTACACTATGTAAAAATTGGGCTATGTAACAAGGGTAGGGATGGGTGGGGGAAAATGGCAGAAAACAATGGAAAAGGTATCACTGACCTAGATGCATAACCTGTCTTCTGGAACTGAAACTCCTTGTACAACTAATTAATAAAAATAAGTATTTTGGGGCTGGGAAGGTGACTCAGTGGTAGAGTGCTTGTCTTGCATGCATGAGCCCCTGGGTTCGATTCCCCAGCACCACACAAGCAAAAAGAAAAAAAGCCGGAAGTGGCGCTATGGCTCAAGTGGTAGAGCGCTAGCCTTGAGCTGAAGAGCTGAGGGACAGCGTCCAGGCCCAGAGTTCAGGCCCCACAACTGGACCCCCCCCCCAAAAAAAAAAAAACTAAAAATAAGTATTTTTAAATGGGCTAAGACCCTCTACACCGCCATTTTTTTTTCAAGGGGTTGAGAATTTAGCTCAGTGGAAGAGGACTTGCCTAGCAAGTGCAATGCTTGACTTCAGTCTTCAGCACTAAGAAAAAAAAAAAAAAAAGACATTTTTCAGGGAAAAAAAAAAGACATACAAATGGATCTGAGTGTGATGGCCATTCCTGTAATACAAACACTTGACACTGAGATTAAGGTAGGGAAATTCAAGGCCAGCCTGAGCTGCTTAGAGATTTTCTGTCTTGAAAGCAAGAAAGAAAGTTACAGGCTGGGCACCACTGGCTCACACTTGTAATCCTAGCTACTCAGGAGGCTGAGATCTGAGGATCAGGGTTCAAAGCCAGCCGGGGCAGGAAACTCCATGAGACTC